TTTTAGATCTCGACACTTAACAAACTCCTGCCTATCGTGACTCGGCACAAAAATTTAAAATATTGGTTCCGTACGTCATGCGGACTGCGCCCCTCGTGCGGATGGGCGGGAATGGAGGGTAAAAACCGTTGGGATTATTATTATTAAAGTTCGCCATGTTTTTTGATATGAGAAAAAAATCTGACGTGGTGGATCAAAACGGGCTTCAGATTCGTGTGTAGCGCCCTTAAAAACATATAGAACACCTAGTCTGGTCAAAAGAATCTTTCATAATTTTTTTGTACTCCTGTGTTATTTATTTAGTTTTTTTCTTTTTTGACGTTACCGAGCTTGAAAACTGAGTTTTAATTTTTTTATACCCGAGCATACTTGTACACAAGGGTATTATAACTTTGTTCACATTACGGTTGTTTGTAACAGCCAAAACGAATAGAGATAGATATAGACAAACTAGCCGACCCGGTGAACTTCGTCCCGCACAAAATAAATTTTTTGTATTGATACATTTTGGTCCAACATTTTCACCAACAGTTCATGTTCATGATTTTTAGTGACGCATTTATCTAATATCACGGGTTGGTGGTTGTGTGGAAGGCATATTTCCATTGCCGTCTTAAATAACCTAGCAAAAGTGTATATGAGGCGTTCCATACCAAAACGGACGGGGTTTACATTTCATGTGTTTGACTTGTTTCAAGGTTAATGCATAAACATAAATAATAAATAAATATGAAATTTGAGCTTGATTAATACATCTTTAAAAACTTTACAGCACAAAAACAAAACTAATCGATTTAATAGTTATCCAAATATCTCGAGAACGGGGCGAGAGAAAAGTTTTAAAAAGTCACACATACACACATCAAAATTCTCTATGAAATGAAATACTTTTAAAATGTTTTTTTCTTAAAAAATGTTTCACATACACATTTTTGATAAAAAACAAATTAGTGTTTGAAAATATGCCCTCTCAAAAAAAAATTGAAAAAAATCACAATGGTAGCTCTGCACTTTATTGTACTAAAAATTAATGGGCTACAAAACTGCATACCCCAACAATTTCAAAAAAAATAAAAAAATTTGAAAATTTGTAATGTACTTATTTGTACTATGTCTCCATTGTGAGATTTAATGAAGATTTAGCCCTCTGACGAGATTTGACGTTAAATCTTTTGAGATTTATCATATAAAATTAAATCTCGAAAGGCAGTAGATTTAAGTTAAATCTTCGTCAAATCTTCAATAATATTGATCAATAAGTACAATTTGTTGGATGTGGCAACCACAAATTCACATGCTATAAGTCAAATGACATTTGTGTTTTCAATATACAGTTGAGGACATTGAAATCTAGCCTATCATAAAAACATGAATTTTCGTATTTTTAGGGATTTTTATATTTTTTTGTTAGTTTGGGAGGAAAATTAGTAATACATATTTACATAACTTTGGTTGTAATAAATTAAGAAAATATTATTTTAAAAACTAAAAATTTAGAAGAAATGTTTTATAGTAATATCATGCAGAGTCTTCTCCGCTTTCTATAAGTCATTTACGCGCTGCGACAAAAAATTTATAAATTTCGGTAATGGTTCTGCTTCGATAACATTGCACCGAACATCCTCTAGAACTCAGTTCGTATTCATGATATGCCAAAGGTCCACGATTGGATTTTCGGGTCCCTCCTATGAATAAGAGAGTTCTACAAAAATTTTTCTTTCCGCAAATGTTTTTTACCGTTTTGATAATTTTTCTTAAATTCGGGAAAATGATTCGGAATATGGTACTATTCTTTACACTTTCCAAACTATATATTATACATACATATTTAGCACGAAAAAGAAGCCAATAATATTCAGAATTCATATAATGAAATTCCGCTTGGTACCTTCCTTTTATCTGTCTGTATATCAATGTCCACAACTGTATTTGTAAAATCATACATAAGCAAACGTCAAATATTTAAAAATGTGAACGTCAAACATATCTCGTAATGGTAATGGAGACGGTTGTGATTTAGCAACTGGATTTATTAAATCTTAATGGATAAATCTCTCAATGGAGACATAGTATTACTGAACTTCGCTGTAAAAAATTCATAACTCCAATTATAGTAGAGTGCACCCCATAATACTAGAGTTAAATATTGCGCAATACTCAGAGCTACCATTTTTTTTTTGAGATGGTATATTTTTAAAAAATATTTTTTTATAAAAAAAGGCGTAAATGATAAATTTTTCAAGAAAAAAATTTTTTAAATGTTTCTTTTCATAGAGAATTTTGTTGTGTGTATGTGTGATTTTTTTTTTATTTTTTTCTCGCCCGTTCACGAGATATTTGGAAAACTATTAAATCGATTTGTTTTTGTTTTTCTGCTGTAAAGTTTTTAAAAATTTATTAATCAAGCTCAGATTTTATATTTATTTATTATTTATGTTTATACATCAACCCAAAAAATTTAAAACAAATCAAACAAATGAAGTGTGAACCTCGTCCGTTTTGGTATGGAGCACCCCATATGCATACAAAGCTACGTAATAGTTTCAGTGCGTTTGAAAGGTGTCACGCCACCTTTTCAAAAAGCCCAATTTTCTCTAAGAGTATTGGATTGATTTCATATATCTCCGTACCATGTTCGAGTACTCTACCGTGAACACTTCCGGAGATATGCAGTATGAAAAATTCGGTTTTTATGGAAGGTTCCACGCCCCTTTTTCCAATTGCTCCAATTTTTCTACATGATTATGCGATTAATTTCATATATCTCTATTCCATGTTCGAGTACTCTACCACGAACATTCCCGGAGACATGCAGTATGAAAATTCGGTTTGTATGGGAAGTGCCAAGCCCCTTTTTTCCAATAGCCCCAATTTTTCTTCGTGACTATGCGATTGATTTTATATATCTTGTACATAACAAGTTCCAGTTCTCTACCATGAACACTTCCAGATATATGCAGAATGAAAAATTCGATTTGTATGAGAGATGCCGCGACTCCTTTTCCGATAACCACAATTTTTCTCCATGAGTATGCGATTGCTTTCATATATCTCCATACCATGTTGGGGCCCTCTTCCATGAATATTTTCCGGGATATGCGGTATGAAAAATTCATTTTGTATGGGAGCTGCCACGCCCCTTTTTCTAATAGCCCCATTTTTCTTAATGACCATGTGATTGATTTCATATATCTCCATACCAAGTTCCAATACTCTACCATGAACATTTCCAGAGATACATATGTATGCAGTATGGGAAATTCGATTTGTATGGAAGGTGCCACGCCCCCTTTTCCAATAACTGCAATTTTTCTCCATGGGTATGCTATTGTTTTCGTATATCTCCATACCATGTTCGAGTACTCTACCATTAACACTTCCAGAGATATGCAGTATGAAAAATTCAGTTTGTATGGGAGGTGCCACGCCCCCTTTTCCAATAACCACAATTTTTCTCCATGAGTATGCGACTGTTTTCATATATCTCCATACCATGTTCGAGTACTCTACCATGAACACTTCCAGAGATATGCAATATGACAAATTCGGTTTGTATGGGAGGTGCCACGCCCCCTGCACCTAGCGGTATGAAGTATACTTTACATCCGATTCTCATACCTATAATATATCCACAAAAAATTTCATAAAGATTGGTCGAGCCGTTTAGGAAGGGTTCGACCACTAACACCGTGACACGAGATTTTTATATATTAGATGTATACATAAGTGCTCAGAATAAAAAGGAAGTCGATTAAGCCGTGACTGTCTGTCCATCCGTCGGTACGCGCACACGATAACTCGAGTGAAAAAATTTGATATCTTAAGGAAACTTGGTATGTACGTTTATCTTTTTTGCCGCCAAGGACGGATTGCATTGCAAATGGGCAAAATTTTCAGAAATACGAAAGCTGCGATATTTTAGTAAATACTGAAGCTTATTCACTCAAATATCAATTTACCATGATTTTTAGGCGGAAAATAAGAACTCGTTTTTTTTTTTTTTTTTTTTTTTGCCTTAGATCATGTAAAAAAATTTTATTCAGCTTGAGGCCGCTTCATATGAAAAAATAATGTGGAAAAAAACGACAATAATTTACAATGCTCTTTCGGAGATAACCACATCTCCTCATCGGGCGTCTTCATTGAGTTCACTGGGATTCGAACCAGCGGCTCCGGGTTGTAAAACCAGTGGTATACCCACTGCACTAAGTTCGCCTTATGAACTGTTCTTGCTTTCTTCACTTTTTCATATATCAACCCTCACAGGCAACTATTCTGTTGTAGGGATGGCAAACAAAATTATTACTCGATTAATGTATCAAATGATTAATTGGAAGGCCGAAAAATTAATGGCAATTAATTAAAAGATATTAATCGATTAATCGTTTTTCCGATTATTTTTGGTTTTAATATTAAAATAATGCAACAACTAGTTTTCAAATTTGTTTATTGATTATAATCGTATAAAAAAGAATTTAATTACAAGTTTGACGTAAATAAGTTTGTAAAAAAGTAATTTTGGCAGCATTTTGATTGTCAATCTGCTTCGGCTTTCCGAAGGTATGGGCCCGGCTTTAAAAAAAGGGTACTGATGTACCAATAAAGTGCGAATATTTGTGGAAAGCAGGTGAAATTTTAAACACGCAGCCTTCATTTCTTCCCATGCTTCAACAGTGTTTCGTTTCCAGTCTAAAACTTGGCAATTCCGATAAAAACTTAGCTCGTCTTGAGGAAATAATCATTTTCCAAAGGTTCCTTTCCGAATCTATCAAAGCTAGTGATGTGTATCTTCATCGACATCAGTGATGTGACTTTAAGAAATAGCAGGGTTGTTTTACTCACAAGCTAAGTTGCAATTTTGGTACTTGTTTCAATTTCAATTATTTTCGTGATTTATCGATTAATGATTCGATTAAACAGAGCAAAAAACTTAATTCGACTTAATCGCTTTCTGAAAAAATTACTCGATTAACGCTATTCATTAGATTATTCTTTCCATCCCTATTCTGCTGCTATTTAGACTTGATGATGTTGTTATTGTGGTTGTTGTTTTTGTTTTCTTTAGTTAACTCGTATATTTGGAATTTTAACTTTAAGGCGTGCTCGTCCTTAATATTTTGGTTTTTTGTTATTTTTGGGCTAATAAATAATATTAAACAATTTTTATTGAGCTTGAGGCCGTTTTTAGTTGAGATCTAGAGATATGCCTATATTAGACTGCATCACTCCCCATACAAAAAAATATCGGTACTGTGTTTCTATTGAAATTATAAAATCTATTATATATTAAGACGCCCACCAAAATATTTCGGTAAAATATTAAGATTTACGTGAGCTTGGCCGATTTGAATATACCTCCAAAAATTGAGTTTTTTATAAATAAAAATAGTTTCTTAAAGATTTCTTTTTAAAAAATTCCCTCAAATGACAAAACGGTTTAAGCTTTAAAAATTTGCATAAAAATATTTAAAAAAATTTTTTTTAAATTTTTAACGGAATTGTAATCAAATTTGCGATGCTGTTTTTTTAACTTTTTTCAGAGATTCGTACAAGAAAAACTTGAATAACTGAGGTGTCATTGGAAAGGTATTTTCTCACCCTTTTTATTTCTTTGCTTTCAAACGATGAAAGAGGAAGATAGGATGAACGAACGTCATTCAAAGTAGAATTAAGATGTGTTGGTATTTGAAAAAAATATAAAAATTGGGAAACGAATGACTTTTTTTGGACAGAAATGAAAACAGTGGGAAAATACCTTTCTACTGAGATCCCATAAGTTTAAATCAGAATAGTTTTGGCTCAGTTATTCAAGATTTTCGTAAATCAATCTTTGAAAAAAGTAAAAAAAAATTATTACTCAAAGCATCAAAAATCTCATTATTACGATTCCGTTGAAAAGATTTTTAAATATTTTTATGAATATTTTTTAAGCTTAATCTGTTTTATCATCTGAGGTGACTTTTTTCAAAAAGTTCATTTAGAAACTATTTTTATTCATAAAAAACTCAATTTTTGGAGGTGTTTTCAAATCGGTCCAGCTCACTTAAATCGTAAAATTTTTCCGAAATATTTTGGTAGGCGTCTTAAAATATAAGAAATTTTGTAATCCCGGCGGAAAAACTGCAATGTTTTGGTGATGCAGTCTAATGTACATATGTGGAGGGAGTGGGAGTAAACTTACTCGAATTAGATGATTTTTGCGAGTGACGTCCTCCAATTTAAACATTTTGCACCAAGATAATGTGCTATCTCCGCTCGGTAGCTCAACATCCTCGTTTCGAAGCTCTATTTGCCGCATTTGATCGTCCTTTCGAAAATGCGATTGAGCCTTTTGAGTAAGTACCATGGGGTGAAATGAGCGGAAAGCAGCTTCTGGGTCAGGCAATGTCCCAGGTTGGAGAGATCCATTAGGTGGGTCGTGAGTTTGGTACATATACATAAGCCTCATCGTGTCATTCTGTAAAATTGTTTAAGAAAAATTTAGAACTTGTTTTACGGGTCGCTACTAGGGTTTGGAAAAATTTAATTTTTTGATCGCGAAAATTCGACTGAATTTATATGGTCAACAATATGTCAAATTTATCAGATTTCAATTAAAACTTTGGTTAAATTTTCGCGATTTTTGTTTTTCATTCAAATTTTTTCAAACCCTGCTAGCGACTCCTACATGGAACAAAACAAAGGGGACCAGCGTAATATATCGTGCGAGACGAAATCATAAGGTCACCTCAATATTATTTCAATACAAGTTTAAGGAAGAGACGTAACGTTATTAGTATGAGGACGAAAGATATTTATTTGTCACTAACACTGATACTTGCGAAAAATGATTATATTAAACCATTAAACCATATTTTGGTCACCGTAATATAAAATTTTTTGGTAATTAATATCCACTTCTTTTTCTGGGGACCGGGAATTAATCCGACTTGGGACATAACGTGTTAACGGAACCACAACTGCGAACAAAAATTAGTAAACATAAAACGGAGGCTACTTTGAAACATCAAAAATTATGTGTTCTTTTTCAAAATAACTTGGCGGCTGAAAACTTACTATTTTTAAGAAAAAAGTACTAAATTTATGTTAGAGATGGGTAAACTCAGCACATTTGCGCTGTGCTGGCAGCCAGTGTTGCCGTTGTGCGACTAAAAGGACAATTTGACCCTTTTTAAGCGCTAATACCCTTTGATCCGACTTTTTGAAAATTTGGACTTTTTGACCCTTTTCCAAAATTATGTGCGACTTTTGCCTCTTTTCAGAGTTTTTTAGGAAATTTTAACAGAACCATGCTATGAAAAAATATTTCCCTCTGTAAGTACGAAAAAATGCATCACTTAAAACTTCTAAAGGAAATATAACTCTTCTCCTTGCAGCAACTAGATTTATGTGTATGTTTGCAACCCTTTTTGGAGCAAAGCTTGTCCCACTATTTTCTTTTCAAATTCAGCAGATTTATTCTGTTACTAGTAAAGAAAAGCAAAATAATATGGTGGCCCTTTTTTTCGTCAATGGCCCCTTTTTATGCGACTTTCTGAAAATTCTCAACAGCAACACTGCTGGCAGCGTGCACTTCTCTGGGCTACAGGGGCTAGATGAAGGGGGATGCAAAAGCCCGGCGAAAGGTAAAAATTTGAGCGAGTTGCTTCTGTGTGTGTAACCGGAATACGAGGACAAGTATGCATGAGTACTTACCAAGGATGTCAATTCTAACAAAGCCGATTCCCCAAGCTTTTTTAAAAATTACCCCATTTTTAATGGTATCCTCAGAACGAATTTGTTTAAAAATTTGAGGTAACTTATGGCGATTTCGTTTCTACAAAAAATGTTGCCTTCTAATCGCCCTCTTAGTGTTTGTGCGTAGAGGGCAAGGAGAATGTTGCGTTTTTCGGTAGAAACGAAATCGGCATTAGTTGCCTTTTATAAATTAAAGCAAGCAATAAATGTACCTACGATGCAGTATTTTAATTAATATAGCAGAAAAGTAGCACGCTGCATATTCTAAAAAAAAAAAAAATTAATTACAGTTAATACAAAGGAATTAGCTTATTATAAATACTCATTACACAGAATGGCTCGGACTCTTCTATGAGTATGAGGCGGGCAACAGCAACATAAACCCGCGCCTACTGAAAAGCAGAGAGGCGGGCAACAGCAACAGAGACCCGCGCCTGCTGAAAACCAGAGAGGCGGGCAACAGGAGCAGAGACCCGCGCCCGCCCATTGGCGGAGAGGCGGGGAACCCAAAGGTAACTCAACAGCAACTTCCACAGGTACAGCAAGGCGAACTAGCTTCCAGGTTACACCACCGGAGCCACAGTCCACCAAGCGGCAGCGGGGGCCTAAAACCCCTCAGACAGAGTCTAGGGGCCTGGATGGGTCTGCGGGCCAAGGTCTGCCTCAGGAAGGAACCGCTCAGCAGCCCAGCTATTCTGATGCTCTTAAAGGTATCCGGGTGGTTGTGCTGCCCTGTGATTACCCTGCAGCTGACCTATGCCCTGAGGACCTAACCAGACTCCAGGATGTGATCATGGACGAGGTGCTAAAAGGGTGGAGGCACCCTCTGGTGTTCAGTGGGGTGTTCTTCAGGTCAGGCATGCTCCTTGTGGACTGCAAGGATGAGCGGACTGCAGCCTGGCTGGAAGAAAAGGCTCCGGCTATTGAGGGGTGGAAGGGACCCGAGCTATGAACGAAAAGGGGGGAGGACATCCCGCCGGTGCACACTATCTCGGTGTTCTTCCCCAGATGCGCCGAGAAATCGGCTGCGTATGTGCTGGCTCTCATTCAGGCCCAGAACGAGGGTGTCCACACGGCTGCGTGGAAAGTGGTGTCGTGCGACGCTGAGGACAACGGTCTCAGGCTCAACCTGGGCATCGACGAGGCGTAGTACGTCAGCATTAATAGGGCCGGATTCCACATAAATTTCCGGTACAGCTACGTCTCGGTAAGGCCGTGGCGGCAAAATATGATAGGTAGCAAGGAGTCAGAGTCGCAAGACATGTGTGTTGACGCGCCAACTGACTCCGCTGCGGCCCCAGCGACAGAGTCGACCACGGCCGCACTAGCCAACCCGCTGAGAGAACAGGCACAGGTACCACCCAACCAGGTAACAGAACCGGTACAGGCACCAGCTCCGGTGAGTCCCGGGCCAAAGGACCTCGACTACGTGCGCACCACACAGGAGCTCCTAGCGGACATTGGCAGGCTCGAACTCGATAGAGGAAGCGAGGGCGACGCGCGGCTCTCGGATATCGACGACGAGCCCCAATTATGAAGACACTAGTAGTAAAGGTAGCCCATGTCAATCTGCATCACGCGGTGGCCGCCTCGGCGGTCATTGCGAGCAGGTATGCCACGGAGGACCTTGGTATACTGCTAATACAGGAACCGTGGACCTACAGGGGCCAGGTGAGGGGCCTCAACCACAATAACAATAAGGTAATTTGGGACCTCTCCTGCGAGAGGCCCAGAGCGTGTGTAGCGCTGAAAAATAATATTAATTATTTCTGCATTACAGAGTTTCTTACACAGGATCTGGTAGCGGTCCAGACTACCTTGAAAGTTGATGGCAGAGAGATGGAGGTGGTCTTGGCTGCAGACTACTTTCTGGGGTACAACGCCAACGTGGCGCCCCTTGAGGTACAGGAGCTTCTGGAATTCTGCCGCAGGAGACGACTTCCTGTCATTCGAGGCTGCGATGCAAACGCCCACATTATGGAGTGGGGCAGTTCGGACACTAACCGCTCACCCCTGCCTTTTAGAATATATTATAAGTGAAGACCTGAGCATTCACAATGTCGGTAATGAACCAACGTTCATTACTAGGGTCAGAGTAGAAGCTCTTGACATCACTATCAGCAACAGACTGGCCAGCCCTTTGATCGTCTAGTGGAGAGTCTCATCTGAGCCTTCGCTGTCGGATCACAGGCTTGTCCGGTTTGCACTGGGAGCTGCTTGTCACACAGGTTACCCGAAGAGAAACCCCAGGAAAACAAACTGGTNAGAAGCTCTTGACATCACTATCAGCAACAGACTGGCCAGCCCTTTGATCGTCTAGTGGAGAGTCTCATCTGAGCCTTCGCTGTCGGATCACAGGCTTGTCCGGTTTGCACTGGGAGCTGCTTGTCACACAGGTTACCCGAAGAGAAACCCCAGGAAAACAAACTGGGCCAAATATGAAGAGGTACTTGGACTGAACCTACCAAGAATAGAGGTACAGGTTAGAAAGGTAGATTGTATGGCGCTAGGAAGACAGGGTTAATAGGCTGAACGGCACAATCTTAGATGCCTTTACGTCCAGCTGTCCCATGTCAAAGCCTAAGGGGAAGGCTCAGCCTCCCTGGTGGTCACGGGAACTCTCGGTTCTTAGGAAAGAGGTGCGCAGACTGTTTAACAGGGAAAAGCGCACCGGGAACTGGGAGGCATACTCAGTCAGTCTGACAAAGTACAATGAGTAGATTAGAAAGGCCAAGCGTAGCAGTTTCCAGACCTTTTGTGAAAACATCGCATCCACTCCTGCAGCTGCTAGGCTTCATAAAGCTTTGGCAAGGGACAACACAGGCAACAGATTGGCTATAAGGCTACCTAATGGGACTTTTTTAGGTACAGAATAGGAAAGGGCACTCGCCCTGCTGTCGGTCCACTTCCCGGACGCCATTTCCACCGCTGAGGAAGCTGTGTTCCGTGCGTACAGGCCATCCCCACCGGACTGGAAGCTAGCTAAAAGCCTTTTAAACCGGCAAACAGTGCGGTGGGCTTTGGACTCCTTCGAACGGTACAAGNACAGATTGGCTATAAGGCTACCTAATGGGACTTTTTTAGGTACAGAATAGGAAAGGGCACTCGCCCTGCTGTCGGCCCACTTCCCGGACGCCATTTCCACCGCTGAGGAAGCTATGTTCCGTGCGTACAGCCCATCCCCACCGGACTGGAAGCTAGCTAAAAGCCTTTTAAACCGGCAAACGGTGCGGTGGGCTTTGGACTCCTTCGAACGGTACAAGGCCCCTGGGGTGGATGGTAAATGTCCAATGTTGCTGAAGCAGGGAGGAGAGCTCTTACTTCCACATCTGGTGGATGGTATGAGGGACAGTCTAACGCTGGCCCACATTCCCAAGGTGTGGCAAAGGGCCAGGGTCATCTTTATCCCGAAGGTAGGTAAGAGAGATTACTCTCTTGCCAAGTCATTCAGGCCGATAAGTCTCACATCCTTTATGTTAAAGGCAATGGAGAAAATTATTGATCATGAGATCAGGTTTAACACTCTGAAACAAGCCCCTCTGCATTCCAGGGAATGAGGAACCTAACCTTGCACGGGGTCGCAATCAATATCGCCACAGAGCTAAAGTATCTGGGGCTTACCCTGGACTTCAAGCTTCTGTGGAAGGCTCATGTTGATGCGATCACCTCCAAGGCCACGANGGGGATGAGGAACCTAACCTTGCACGGGGTCGCAATCAA